CCAGGGTGGTGAATTAGTTTGGAAACCTTCTGCCAGCGTGATAGAGTATACGAGGAGACCAGCTTGGCCTTCAAATCCTCGTAAGGGGTTTCTGAGGAGGCAGCAGAACCCATGATCAGGCCGCGTACTGAGACCATGATCTTCTGGGGAAGTTTCTGTACGATGTGGTCGAATTTGGTTTTTGACTGTGTGATTTAGGCATTTCTGAAAGCCGCCTCTGCATGAAGGAACCATAGGTCGGGGTCCTCTGTCCAGAAATCCGGGATCTTGACAGAGACTTTGGCAACGAACTCGGTTGGAGTTTCTTTTCGGTCGGTCATGATGCTCGGATGTATCACTTAATGTTCAAAGTTCAAGAAAATCACAAAACTGGATAGCGTTTTCTGTATGTTCAAAGTCGGGGGTCACCAATATAGAGGACGTGAGTCAGACTCTAAATAACAACGCATAAATAACTTCCAGTTATATATTTCTTATAACTTATTACTAGAGGGTTCAGAACTAGAGTCAATATCGAAATCACACGTGTAGATGTTTTATCAGTACTATGCACCGTTCTATCTCATTTTGTTGAATCTTGTGGAACTAGTTTAACGCGGCTAGGCATCGTCTTCCACAACATATTCCTTTATATTCCTATATATTCCTATATCCTACACATGTAAATTCCTAAATATTTTTCTATATATTTCTATATATTTTCCTATATATTCCTTTATATTCCTTTATATTCCTAGATATTCCTAGATATTCCTATATATATTTTTATATGTATATTCCTACATATCCAGATGTTAATGGTTCACTCTGTATTATGTTTGAATATAAAGCACTAGAAATTCAAGGCGCTTTGCGCCCTTCTTTCTAGGCTTTTAGGGCGCTTCGCGACCATCTTCTATTTAAATTGTGAACATGTTTTTTTGTTTACATTTTAAAACAAAGTAGAAGAAAATTTTACCGTTTAAAAAAAAAAAATTCGCGGATTTTCAAGAATTTGAATTTTTTTACATAATTAAAAACATTTAAAACACTTTTTTTAAATTTTTATCAATCATACACCTTCCCTGTGGTCACGTGATGTCCCACAAAAAATTTGGGCCCGATCAGTTCAGCGGTTTTGACGTTTATTGGATACAAACAAACAAACACCGAGACAGACAAGCCAAATTTATATATAGACTAGAAATTCAAGGCGCTTCGCACCCTTATTTCTAGGCTTTTATCATTCATAAACCTTCCCTGTGGTCACGTGATGTCCCACAAAAAATTTGGGCCCGATCGGTTCAGCCTTTTTGACGTTTATTGGATACAAACAAACAGACAAACAGACAAGCCAAATTTATATATTGATGAGAGAGTATAGAATATATTCAATCCTGAGAAAATAATAAAGAATAAACCTTCTTGTTTTTTACTTTTAAATACAAGTAAAAAGTGCGATTAACAAGAATTTTTATAAATCTGAGCTTCAGGTAGAGGTACAATTTTAAGGAAATGTTCTCTTAGGTTAAAGGGACTGCGTAATTTCAAGTGACTGATCATTGAAGAAATCCGTGTGTTTGTTCTAAAATTGTGTTTAGATTCGGTACAGAGGTAACTCAACGCTAGTCGACTTTACATATACTTCTCGAAAATTCCAAATATTCTATGTTCAATCAACGCGGTTTTCAAAAATTCAAATGAACATTTTTATTTGCTTTTCTCTCATATTATATTGTCAAAGGACAAAAAAATCAGTCCCAACGATTTTTTGAAAATTCCAATAAAAAAACGAAAAAATTTCCAATGGAATTATAAGTCAAGAAAATTATCAATTAACTTGCAGTGATAACAAGAAAACTTCAAAAAGTCCAACAAGCTTGAAAAACAACAAATGTGCAGCGAAACAGACCCATTAATTAAATTAGTAGTTTAATAAGTGTCTAAGAAAACTATTTACTTTGTAACATAAAATACAATTAATACTATGTCGTCTTACTATTTCATTGTTTTCTGGTTATCACTGCACTCAATTAACGAACATTAAAAGGCATCTATTATAAGGTTTACTTGCATAGATTTATTTCATTAGGCATCCATTTATGGTTTTGTTTGTTTGTTTGTTTGTTTGTTTGTTAGTGTATATAGGATAATTGTCTGTGAGTGTCCCCCCTCTCTCTGTTTGCCAATAAAAGAACCAATAAACATAAATGGATCCTATTACCATAACCTGTTCCACAAAACATAATAGAATTAATTATAACAAGCTTGCTTTTTATTACAAACTAAACAGGGCATCTCAAAACTATAAACTCAAATTTGCTAATCCCTTTAACTTTGCAACCTGATGGTTTAACCTTTGATGTTTCAAACTTTCTTGATCGGAATACGTAGTTTGAAATAACAAAGGTCTACGACATCGTATAGGGATTAAAAATTTAGAGTTTATGGCTAAAACTTATTCACTTTCAGATCTACAATAACTGGTTTAGGTTCATATGAGCCTAATATGCAAAATGCAATCTAGGGTTAGTCATTCTTTTCAAAAAAGCCAAGTTAAGGAACTGTAAGTGCAATTTTATGAGAACCTCCATGCAAAGATGGCAATGTCTGATTTACAATAGATTTTTAAAAGATTTTTATGATCTAGTATGGTATAGATATGCATGCTTTTGTTTATTGTAACTGTTCATTTTCGTTTGCGGTTTTTCTGCAAAAGTGACCTGCGCATTTCCTGTTTATAAGAAACAGAAATGTACAAAAATAAACATTATTCGAGTCAGAAAAATGACGTTAACTTTTTTTAACATTTCCCCCCAGATTAAGGTTTCAAGGGTCACGTGATAAATAGGACATCGCTTTCTTCATATGGAGTTCACTTAAAACTACGTTTACAGTCCCTGTAAGCATAAAAATCGTTTTTTTCGCTGAATGACAAATTTAACTTTTCAATAAACTTAATTAAACTTACTTTTGAGCTTTTTAAATTTTTAAATGGTCTAAAGAGGTTTTAAGAACATTGAAACAAGAAACTTGAAAAACTACATGAAAAAGCATGTTAAACGCCAATTAAACATGAGAACATGACAATTAGATCATTTGATAAGAAATCAGATTGTACTTACAAAACATTAATTTTGAATGAACATGAATTTTGAGCAGCGTAGTATGCATGTACAATGTACAAGGTACAGTGTACGCAGACACTGTACATATAATTATTTGACATTTAAATATATTTGTAATTTTCTTATTGCTATCTTTACCAGTTTGGAGGGGAAGGTTGAGAGAAGCTGGAAAAATTCAGATCATTTAATCAAAAAGGTTTTAGCACATAACATTCATAATAATAATCTGGTGTAAAGCATGAAGCATCTGGTTTACCCAATGTTTTTAACCGGCATCTTGGTTTCAACATGCAGGGCCTTTAATTGGAATTTTGGGTAGATTACATAAGCTTTTGCCTATTTTGTCGGATAATATATTCAACATGCTTTCAACTGGTATGTTGGTTTGGTTACACATGCTTTTAACTAGTATGTTGGCTGGTTTACACATGCTTTTAACTAGTATGTTGGCTGGTTTACACATGCTGTAATAACTGTCATGTTGGTTTGGTTACACATGCTTTTAACTAGTATGTTGGCTGGTTTACACATGCTGTAATAACTGTCATGTTGGTTTGGTTTAACTAGTATGTTGGCTGGTTTACACATGCTGTAATAACTGTCATGTTGGTTTGGTTACACATGCTTTTAACTAGTATGTTGGCTGGTTTACATATGCTATAATAACTGGCATATTGGTTTGGTTACATATGCTTTTAACTATTATGTTGGTTGGTTCACATGCTATAATAACTGGCATATTGGTTTCGTTACACATGCGATGCTTTTAACTGGTATGTTGGTTCGTTTCCACATGCTTTTAACTGGAATGTTCGCTGATTCACACATGCTATAATAAGTGGCATATTGGTTTGGTTTCACATGCGATGCTTTTAACTGGTACATTGGTTTTTTTACGCATGCTTTTAACTGGAATGTTGGTTGGTTTCCACATGCTTTTAACTGGAATGTTGGTTGGTTTCCACATGCTTTTAACTGGAATGTTGGTTGGCTTCCACATGTTTTTAACCCTATTCCCGCTGGGGGGGGGTCAATTTGACCCCCCCCTGTAGTTTTTTTTACATAACTCAAAAAGTATTGGTCTGAGGCTGTTGAAATTTTCTGACTTTTCTTACATACCCAAAGCCCTCCCTTTAGGCCTAAAACCGGGCTTTAATACTAACTGCCTGAGTCCTCAGGCACACTGCCTGAATGACTGCTTTTGCCTGTAGCAAACTAAATCTTTGTTTTGACCCACTTTCACTTGTCAGATTTTGATAAAATTTAGCTTTTTGGAAAGCCTATGACATAAGGAAACGGATTGCACAAGTTTTGCGAAAAAAAATTTGCAAATTTTTTGCAAAAAAACTGTCAAAGGAAATTTGCACATTTTTAGTTTTTCTTGATTAAAAATCAGGTTATTTAAAATTTTGCAAAAATTTTTGCATATTTGAAATGGCATGGTCAAGGGCTTTTCAAAAATGTATAATTTGTCATTTTTTGGACAATTTTTTTTTTGCAAACATTTTTACTATAAAACTGGATTTTGCGATAAAAAATTCAATTTTCGCAAATTTGCAAATTTTTTTGCAGATTCTAAAAGTAGAGCACAAGAGCTTTCTAATGATGTATCATTTGTCATATTTGGACATAAAACATGGGATTTAGAGGGGGGGGTCAAATTGACCCCCCCCCAGCGTATCCTGGTTTTCAAGTACCCCAGCGGGGATAGGGTTAACTTGAATGTTGGTTGGTTTCCACATGCTTTTAACTGGTATGTTGGTTTGTTTATACATGCTTTTAACTGGTATGTGGGTTTGTTTATACATGCTTTTAACTGGAATGTTGGTTGGTTTCCACATGAATTTAACTTGAATGTTGGTTGGTTTCCACATGCTTTTAACTTGAATGTTGGTTGGTTTCCACATGCTTTTTACTGGTATGTTAGTTTATTTATACATGCTTTTAACTATTATGTTGGTTTGTTTATACATGCTTTTAACTGGTATGTTAGTTTATTTATACATGCTTTTAACTGGTATGTTAGTTTATTTATACATGCTGTAATAACTGCCATGATGATTTGGTTACACATGCTTTTAACTGGTATGTTGGCTGGTTTGCACATGCTGTAGTAACTGGAATGTTGGTTTGGTTACACCTGCAATGCTTTTAACTTGCATGTTAAATGGTTATCACATGGCTTTAAATGGCATTCCTGCTTGTTAGTTCTGAAAAGATTTCTCATATTTTTACGTCATTCCTTACTATAAATAATTCAGATTTAGGAGAAATTAGAATTTGCCCCATGGTAAAATCAAAATACTTTGATTTTATTTCTTTTTGTTTCCATATTTCCATCCTCAAGAGTGAGGATGAAGAGATAAAGGAAGAAGAGTCCGGCAGCGGATAAAAAATGCCAGATATCATGGTAGTCGTAGATACCGATAGAGCAAGGAGCGTTTAGACTTCGTGATTGGGCTGGACTAACGCTAGTAGTACGCTCAACTGTCATGAAGAAGTACAAGGATGGAAGGGCGGTAGAGTTTGCTAGGAATAGGTAGAGCCATGAAATCCAACTTATTGATTCATTCAATTCATTTTTCCATTTGTAGAGATAAATCTTCCTTGAGACATAGTAGCAAAAATACAGAATCATATTGACTATAAATATTGCTAGAAGATACATAGACGCACCTTCGGGATTCTGCATTAGAAATATTGCAAGAGCCATCAGAAAATTGATAACTACAATGCTAATAAAGTTCCATGACAGGTCTTTTAAGTCTTTGGGATTTTTGCACAAATGTATACAACCTGTTGAAAAGAGAGTTAAAGCTCTCCTGAAGGGTGGACTGTTACCTTCCCAGTATATTGGGTAGAGGAATGTAGAGAGTAGAATGGAATATAGAAGAATGAAAACTACAGTAAACGCAACACTTTGAATAAAATATCCCAATGCTTCCATAATCAGAGCACAACCAAGAAGAACAAAGACATGAACTGCATGTTGACCTCCATTAGGATGTCTGAACTGATAAACCTTGAGAAAGAGAAGAACTGCGATAAAGTACATGAATGTTGTGTCAAACTGAAAGTTTTGTTCCGTTGGACAAATGTGATAAGATGCGCTTAGAACACCCTCAAGAACCAGTGCTATACCCAGAGCAGTGTAGATCCCAAACTGCTCGGTAATTCCATATTTGGATCTGATATTGAGTTCTTCCAATCTTTGTTTGAATTGTTTATATTTTAAGCTCCTGTACCAGACTATTGTAAGGAATACCAGACCTAGGATAACGTATCCAACATTACTGAATATATTACCAAAGTCTTGAACTCCCCACCAGGGAAATTGACACTCAAAGTTATAATAGCAAAGATCCTTGTTTCCTCCCTCGGTAGACATGGTTTGATATAGGAATACCAGTTGAACCACTGGTAGGGTATAGTATATTCCAACTATGATTATCAACCATGTATACTGACTGGACCGTTTGGAATTATACGCCTTGGCTTTTCTAACACTGAAGCTTTTTGGAGAATATTCCCATTTTAGAATTGGTGAATTTGTGTTGGCTGTACTACGTTGTATTGCTGTATTTTCTGCACTTATAACGTCTAGTGGAGTAAACTGTTGAGTTGGATCACCTATTATAGATATTTGTGATAACTCCACTGGATCAGAATTCTCATCAGGTTGGGGTTTCGTAGACTGTGCTTGATGACTTCTTAAAGTGGTTTGATGTTTTTGAATATTTCGCTGAGCTTGGCTGAACCGCCCTACCCATTCTACATCATAATGAGATGGACTCTTTAGGAGTATGATGTATCCTAGAATACACATAGTTCCGTAGAATGCTAGAGTTATCATAGATGATAGCAATCTTCTATCTTGAACATATTCAATGGATACATTCACACTTTGGGATACATTTTCACTCTGTGGTACACTACTTAGTTTTGATATTGTGGAGAAGCATTGGTCCTGAGATACAACCAAGAGGAAAATGTTTATTCCATGTTTGTATTCGGGATTTGATCCATCCAGCAGAAAAACTGATTTCTTTAACATAGTCTGATAATCTATGGAGGATCCGTGTTTCAAACTGCTCTCAAGTTCCTAAACAACAATATTTGGTAATTTACAAGTGTAGAGCTTATGGACACCCCAACTCCCCCCCCCCCCCCCACCCACGCTCTACCCTTCGCCTGAAAAAGTTTGCAACCTCAAAAATCGCGCGCACTCAAGTAAAAATAAATTCTTTTGTCAACAGTCATTTTGTCGCCACCTGGGCTTCTAGGCAATCCTAAGGCGCATCGCTCGGCCCCTTGAGACTGTCTCCACTTTGCCCAGAAATTATCTTGACCTCCTTGACCCGACCTTAGCCAAAATATTAACTAACAAATATTACTTTTTATTAAGCACATGATCTCAAAGCACGGCCCTTTAACTATTCTAGCCGCAGTGCTGGGAATCATCTTAAAATTTTTTAGTATTCTTTTCAACATGACTTTCGAGGTTTCACACTTGCTTGGAAACCTGCAGCTCTCAAGCCTGGGTTACGGGGAAGTTTTCCCTATAAAAGTCAACCTAGAACTTTTAAACCAAACTAAGAACAGACCAGGGATTTCTAACGAGTTCTGTAATCAAAATTTTAGGCAAATATAGGACTTACACACAATCAGACAATAACAGATTTCTACTTTATAAAATAAAATATAGATGTCAATATTAGATATGAAATATGCTAAATATATCAAATATAGGATTTTAAATAAAATGAATACAAAATTTCTTTTATAAAGCCGCAGTAATTCAGAAACTTATTCAAAATATAAAAGATTTATAGTTATTTCATCACAAATATTAATTTTACCAAATGAAACCTTAACAGAATTTAATTGCAAAGCATGCTGAAAATTTTTTACGTTTTTTTTGTGGAAAATTTTAAGTTTTTATCTAAAAAAGAACAAAAAGTGCCGGGGATTTAAAAGCTTATATGTACAATTTTTATTTTTTCCCCCAAATGAAAAGTGAAAAAATTATCAACCAATCTTTGACAATAGGACAGTGGTCAAAACAACTATGAAAGTTATGCATTCAATCTGAAGACCGCGTCGACTTTGAAATGTACATCTACATTGTAGTTTCTGGTTACTACTGTTTAAAATAAGTAATTGGCAAAATGCTAATTTTACGTTATCACAATTTGATTTAGTTATAGAATTTAAAATGTGTGGATTTTAAACCGAATGTAGCCGAAATATATATCTATCCATCTATCTATCTATCTATCTATCTATCTATCTATCTATCTATCTATATCTACCTGGATAATAAAGAAAGGGCACTGTAGAGCAGGTTGTACAGCTACCATAATACAAACATCCTCCCCTCCACTTTCTACACGGAGAAGAATTTCGTCAGATGAATTCTCAAATTCGTAGAACAAAACCTAGAATAAATAGGAATACGAATGTTGTAACTAAATTATGATTTAAAATAGTCAAATTAACAAACAAACAAAAAACAGTAATTGTGCAGTGTACACAAACATTTAAATTAAATGCTTGATCTTAAGCCACTGGAATAACAATTTGCTTTAAAACAACATCAAATACACACATAACTACTTAAATGTCATCCTTCACTTCTACAGCTCTTTTCTCGCTACTACATTGAAAGTTCGTCACCAGGCATAAAAGAAGACCCCCTGCTCAAATTATGAATAGAAGACGACTTTCTACTCAAATTGGGAATAAAAGACGACTTCCTACACAAATTATGAATAGAAGACGACCTCATACTCAAATTAGGAATAGAAGGCGACCTTCTACTTAAATTAGGAATAGAAGACGACCTTTTACTCAAATTAGGAATAGAAGACAACCTTCTACTTAAATCAGGAATAGAAGACGACTTTCTACTCAAATTAGGAATAGAAGACGACCTCCTACTCAAATTAGAAATGTGAAACCTACATTCGAAAACTACATTCAGTCCATCTTTATAAGAGATAAGAATGTGTTCAGAATTGTTTATTGTTCATGAAACCTTTCTGTTGAATCAACACCTAACTTGAATCTGTTTAGATATATATGTCTAGTCTGTTTGATGCCAAATAATGTTAAAAAGTAAATGTGATTTTAAAAAGCAACATTTTTGCACTGCAAAAATTACAAAATGCTACAGTATGGCCCATAAAACTGTAGAATAGGAAGACAAAATTTGAGCAATCTTATTAATAGAAAATAATCTTGATAAAATCTCCGGGTGTTTAATATGGGCCACTGGTCTGTAAAAGATTTACTTAAATCCCATCAATAAATCAAATAAAACTGTTCCTCCATAACCCTAAAAAGAAAATGGAATTAAGATGTTGTACAGTTATTAAGTTATATAAAGTGTATATAACCTTTTCATGCCAGTTGTATTATTTGACATCTTAACATCTTTCGTCATCATATTCCTTAGTTTGTTGGGTTTCACTGTACAGTACCTGGGGTTCTGAAGGAGAAATGAGTTTATCCCTGATAGTTTGGTTTAGTTGGATTTTATATTCCTCCATAACTATTCTAACTGTGAAGTGCAGAGGAGTAAAGCTGTAGGTTGCTATACTCAGGTTTAAGGAGTTATCAGTAGACACAGGACATAAGGTGGTTCCAACTCCACTTGAGTTCCTAAACAAAAAGATTTCTTATATAGGTAAGCAAAGCGATGAAATATATACACACATATGTATGTATGTCCGGCCAAACCGTAACACAAAGATATGTTACTAAAGTAAAAGATTAAACAATTGCACCAATCAATGGATTTTATAGAATGTGTTGCATCCTTCTTCACATTTTAATACAAAAGAAAACAAATTTAATGCAAATAATAAATTATGTAGCAAGATAGATGCCTTGAAGAGGTAATAATGTATATATGAATATCCCTTTACCTATAATTTGTAACTGTAATTTATATAAATAACACTGATGATCGTTTTGACATCAGTAGTTCTTGGATGTAAAAGAATGGTGACCTAAAACTATCTAGAGATCTACCCTGTCCATTTTATCATATATTAACTTTAACTTTTCTTCTCATTGTTGTTCATTTCTGTTCATTTCTGTGGAAAATGCGTTTGACTCAAAGGTTTTCAGGAGATTGCATATTAGAAAACCCGAAATCTTTAAAGCTTTTCCTAGTTTAAGAATCTTTAAAATCTCAGGTGGCTCCTTTTTAAAACCCTAAAATAACAAGTACCTGCACATAAGCTAACATGCACCTGTACATAAACTAACATGTATCAGTACATAAACTAATATGCACCTGTACACAAACTAAAATGTTCCTGTACATAAAAATCATGTACCTGACCATGAACTAACAAGGACTGATGTAAACATAAATAAACAGGTTTATAAATCAACATGCACCTAGGTTCATAAACTAACATAAACCTTTACATAAGCTAACATGTACCACTCCATAAACTAATATGTACCTACCTATGCATAATATAACATGTACCTGAACATAAACTTCAATGTACCTGTACATAAACTTAAACATATACCTGTACATAATCAAACATGTACCTGCAATAAACTAACATGTACATTGTATACCTGTATATAAACTAACATGTACAATGTAGATTGTACCTGTAGGATACAGAGGGAACCTGCCAGAGTGATGAATAATGAGGTTGGTGTACATAAACCAGTAGAGGAACCTCAACACTTGCATTAGGTGACTCAGAATATATCTAAAATATATCTAGAATATATCAGAGGACTCAAAATCAGGGGTCCATGTAATTCCTTTTTCAATCCCATTTGGGATTGACAAATTTGAAAGAAACGGGGGCAAATTTTTTAAATGGGGGAAAATTTTTTTTAAATGATAATTTTTAAAAAATATTGGGGACATTTTTATTTAATTGGGGGCATTTTTTGTTAGTGGAATTTAAAAATGTTTTTTTAATTGGGGGCATTTTTTTTACAATTGGGGGCATTTTTTTAAAAGTTGGGGGCAAAATTTATTTTGGGATCGAGAAAATCAGCTATTTTGGGAATTATATGGACCCCTGCTCAAAATATATCTAAAATATATCTAGAATATATCAGGGGACTCAAAATATATCTAGAATTTATCAGGTGACTCAGAATATATCTAAAATATATCTAGAATATATCAGGGGACTCAAAATATATCTAGAATATATCAGAGGACTCAAAATATATCTAGAATTTATCAGAGGACTCAAAATATATCTAAAATATATCTAGAATTTATCAGGGGACTCAAAATATATCTAGAATTTATCAGAGGACTCAAAATATATCTAAAATATATCTAGAATATATCAGGGGAATCAAATATATCTAAAATATAGCATGAAAAATCCTGAAAATGACGATTTATTTTATTACTTTTCAAAAAAAAATTATGGATGTCGTCTTTGCTCTTTCATTAAAGTAAATGTGCAGATTTTTATCTAATACAAAATTACCCATAATACAAATGAGACTTCAGAGACAACTGTACGGCATTCATTTGGAAGATAACTGTACGGTATACATTTGAGAGATAACTGTACGGCATTCATTTGAGAGATAACTGCACGGTACATATTTGAGAGATAACTGTACGGTATTTATTTGACAGATAACTGTACGGTTTTAATTTGAGAGACAACTGTACGGTATTCATTTGAGAGATAACTGTACGGTATTCATTTGAGAGACAACTGTACGGTATTCATCTGAGAGACAACTGTACGGTATTCATTTGAGAGACAATTGTACTGTATTCATTTGAGAGACAAATGTACGGTATTCATGTGATCTTTTTCATTGAATTCAAGATTCCCTGAAGCATTATGAACATATTTCCAGAGTTATATTAGTTAAAATATACCTTGATTTCAATTTAACCTTTACCTTTCTTAATCTTTACAAACAATCCATTTAAAAATATCTTACCTTGACTGTATATCCTTCCTGTAAAATCACTTTCACTTCAAAAATTTGAGATGAATCGTACACAACAGTACCCTGCAGTTCGACAGACTGATCAGGGGTGTTCAGAATATTTTCGGGTTCAACTCTGTTAATTATTATTAACAAAATGATAGAATGAATTAGTTCCATGTCGTATGTCTACCCTGTGAGCTTATCAGTGACTAAACTTTTTCTAATCAAGGTTTCTAATGTTTGCATAAATAATATTTATCAACAATACTAATTTTATCTATCAGAAAGTGACGCATGCATTTATACAAATTCACTCCAAAGTAAAGAACTAAATATGAAGATAACAGGAATTATAGAACTCCTCCAAAAACTGAAATAAAACTGATACAGTGGTAACCATACAACTCTGGACTAGGAAGACGACTTTTAGACTCAAGCTATGACTTTAAATAGTCCGATAAATTGTGCAGTGTAAACAGAACCATTTCACTTAATGAGTTATAATTAATAAGTTACAAGTCAAACAATTTTCTTTGCAACAACATCAAGTACATGCTCTTGATTATTGCTTTAATTTCTATACCACAGTTTTCTGATTCTTACTTTACATAAAATATTTATGAAAGTATGAAAACCGAGTTATTTTGTTGAATTGAAAGAAATTTAATTTTGTGTAAAAATGATAAAAATAAAAGAAAGATTAAAGATAAAATGTTTACTTTGCAAATGGAGGTAAAGATCCCTCTTTACGGGGAAATAAATGTAATTTTAAATTTTGAATTTTAATCTTCTTTCACTTGGATTAAAACGCACCACGTGCCACATTCATGATAGTTAGGAAGATAGTTAGGAAATTAGTTTGGAAGAAAGTTAGGAAATTAGTTTGGAAGATAGTTAGGAAGATAGTTAGGAAGATAGTTAGGAAGATAGTTAAGAAGATAGTTAGGAAGATAGTTAGGAAGATATTTAGGAAGATAGTTAGGAAGATAGATAGGAAGATTGTTAGGAAAATAGTTAGGAAAATAGTTAGGAAGATAGTTTGGAAGATAGTTGGGAAGATAATTAGGAAGATAGTTAGGAAGATAGTTAGGAAGATAGCTAGGAAGATAGTTAGGAAGATAGTTAGAAAGATAGATAGGAAGATTGTTAGGAAGATAGTTAGGAAGAGAGTTAGGAAGATATTTAGGAAGATAGTTAGGAAGATAGCAAGAAGATAGTTAGGAAGATAGTTAGGAAGATAGTTAGGAAGAAAGTAAAAGATAGTTAGGAAGATAGTTAGGAAGACAGTTAGAAAGAAAGTTAGGAAGATAGTTTGGAAGATAGTTAGGAAGATAGTTAGGAAGATAGTTAGGAAGATAGTTAGGAAGATAGTTAGGAAGATAGTTAGGAAGATAGTTAGGAAGATAGTTAGAAAGATAGATAGGAAGATTGTTAGGAAGATAGTTAGGAAGAGAGTTAGGAAGATAGTTAGGAAGATAGTTAGGAAGATAGTTAGGAAGATAGTTAGGAAGATAGTTAGGATGATAGTTAGGAAGATAGTAAGGAAAATACAGTCATAACCAGAAAACTCCGAAATAGGAAGACGACTGTATAGCACTAAGGAAGTGTATTTGATGTTGTTATAATGATTCCCGTGCTCATTGGACTATCTTAAGTCATAATTTAGGTTTAAAAGTCGTCTACCTATTCCAGAGTTTTCTGATTATCACTGTAGTTAGGAAGATAGTTAGGAAGATTGTTACGAAGATAGTTAGGAAGATAGTTAGGAAGATAGTTAGGAAGATAGTAAGGAAGATAGTTAGGAAGATAGTTAGGAAGATCGGTTGGAGGATAGTTAGGAAGGTAGTAAGGAAGATAGTTAGGAAGATAGTTAGGAAGATCGTTAGGAAGTTAGTTAGGAAGATAGTTAGGAAGATAGTTAGTTAGTTGTGCTCTACTTTTAGAATCTGCCAAAAAATTAGCAAATTTGTAAAAATTGATTTTTTTATCGCAAAATCCAGTTATATAGTAAAAATGTTTGAAAAAAAATTTGTCTAAAAAATGAAAAATTATACATTTTTGAAAAGCCCTTGACCATGCCATTTCAAATATGCAAAATTGCAAAATTTTAAATAACCTGATTTTTAATCAAGAAAAACTGAAAATGTGTAAATTTCCTTTGACAGGTTGTTTGCAAAAAATTTGCAATTTTTTATCGCAAAACTTGTGCAATTCGTTTCCTTATGTCAAAAGCTTTCCAAAAAGCTAAATTTTATCAAAATCTGACAAGTGGAAGTGGGTCAAAACAAAGATTTAGTTTGTTACAGGAAAAAACAGTCATTCAGGCAGTGTGCCTGAGGACTCAGGCAGTTAATATTAAAGCCCAGTTTTAGGCCTAAAGGGAAGGCTTTGGGTATGTAGGAAAAGTCAGAAAATTTCAACAGCCTCAGACCAATACTTTTTGAGCTATGTAAAAAAACTACAGGGTGGGGGGTCAAATTGACCCCCCCCCCCAGCAGGAATAGGGTTAATAAAAATGTTTTGATAATAAGAAATAAATAAATAAAAATATGTCTGAAACAGTATTGCATTAAATTTCCTTTTCAGTTTAACAGAAGGCCGTAGAACTACCTTTAAAGGGACTGTAGTCGGGTTTTCACATGGTCATTCTCTTATAGAGTGGTATGTGCGATTTACAACGGTACCCTTTAAGCCTGTACATGATTTCAAAGTTTCTGAGTTATTCCTCTAATTCCATCCTAAAGGAATTGAGTCTTTGCCACAAACTCAGATTTTCTAATATCTATAACTTAGCAACCCGTTTTCCTATACCTTTGATATTTCAAACTATTAATTCTGGTAGATCAAATAGTCTAAGTTTGAAATATAAAACCATCAGGTTGCAAAGATATTGGGGTTAGAAAATCATAGTTTGTGGCAAAAACTCAATTCCTTTGATTATTTTTAAAATGTGAAACTCTTTAAAAATTTTGTTATAATCAGAAATTAAAGGTTTTCCAAGGAAAAAGACCGAAAGAAGGTGATCAGAGACTAGATTTTTATAAACAGCGAGACAAAGTTGAATCATATACTGAGTTGAAACTTCAACTTGGACTGCACTACTCTTCAGCTTGAACCAGTTCACAGGAGAATTGGTTTATCTTAGTCTACGTGATTCAACTCTGTCTCAATATTTTTTAATCTTGTTTAAACATTTTCTGAAAATATTGTTTTTTAATAATTTTAAGATTTGCAATTTAAGTAGTTAATTAATTCCTCTTAACATTTGCGGAGAGGTTTTAAAAATCACAACCTGTTTTTAGCTAAACCCCCTTTAAATATACATTCTCTGTATATCTAATATCTATATCTATGTATATGTACCCCCGAGTATACCCTTATTGTCTAGTAACTTGAATACACTGTTACTAAGGAGGAAATTGAACCAAAACCAAATCTTAATTTAATGATTTCACAGAAATATTATAAACAAGGAGATCAGATACCGGACACACAGATGAAGCTTGGATATTAAACTCTTGAAATACTAAAGTTAAAAAGATAAAATTCAGTCTTTCACATTAAACATAATCTTGCCAATAATGCACTGCAAAAAGTTATTTTGTGACTTATCAATATAAAATCTCAATTAGTTGTTTTACACACGTGGAAGCGTATCAAAATGAAAGCTATTTCTTCATCATAAAATGTCATTATAGTCCTTGAGATAAACATTTTATCAGTTCAGAACGCTGAGCTGAACACTCAAAAAAGCTCATCAAAAACTATTTCTGTTCAAGATTAAAAATGGAATCGGCATTGATGATTTATGATCGGACATACAACATACACAGGGGCGGAATAAACGCCAATCACGTAATATTAAGTAAATTTCACTAAAGATTAAAATCTTAAATGTTTTCAAACATCGCTCCTCTTTACGAGGTCTTGAGAAGAACAAAAATGTTTCTAAATTTTTATAATGGAACCGGATAGATAATAATGGAACCGGATAAATAATAATGGAACCGAATAAATTTCGATTTTCTAAATTTTGCGTATAATAAATTTAGAGTGGGTACAAGGTAACAAAATCGTACCACGTTTAAATTAGACCTTCTCAACAAAAGAACTTCTTAAACAATGGATATTTTTATCAAGCTCAATTGAATCTGAGCGTTCATTCTTCGAACGTTCTTCTGACAGTGCAGTGTGCTAAATATCTGAAGAATTATTTGAAAAATTGATCCGCAATGAACTATAAACCACTCCTGCTGTTTCTTTGTTCAATATGCTAATATTCAATGTATTTATGTATCTATATATACAGTAATAACCAGAAAACTCTGGAATAGGAAGTGAACTAAAAAGAATCAAGTTTTAACTTTAAATAGTCCAATGAACATGAGGCACAGCAGTTGTGCAGTTTAAACAGACCCAATTCACTTTTAATAACTTCGTACTAAATGTATTTGCTTTCTTAGAACATCAAATACTCTTATGCTAGCATTGATTTAATGTCGTCTTCCTATTCTATAGTTTTCTTGTTATCACTGTATAAAGTTGTTTTCTCAGTTTCTCTGTTTGTTTGCATTCTGATCATAACTCATTTAGCCCCTGACCGGTTTGCCTCAAATTTTTATTTGGGAACTCGGACGAATGACAAGAATGTGTATATGAAAAAATAGCTAAAATCGTAATTTACGACCAAGCGCTTCTTAACGGCGGGAGTAACGCTGCGGTACATCATATCTACAGTAAATATTCTTATTTCACTCTGCGACATTACTGATTCAACTTTTTGAGCTCGTAGCTTCTCTAGCTTTCATTCAAAGCACAAGCATGATTGAGAGTAGCGAATGTATCCGGTTACATATTAGAAATTAAAAACATTTTATTCTTCCTAATATCTCTTCAATAAGAGGAGTTCAGATTGAATATATACATACTAGGCTTTTAGGGCGCTTCGCGCCCATCTTCTATTTAAATTGTGAATATGTTCTTTTTGTTTACATTTTAAAACTTAAAGAAGAAAAAAATGTTGCGGATTTTAAAAAAAATTCGCGGATTTTCAAGAATTTAAATTTTTTACAAAATTAAAAACCTTTAAAACACATTTTTAAAAAAATTTTATCATTCATAAACCTTCCTTGTGGTCACGTGATGTCCCACACAAAATTTGGTCCGGTTCGGTTCAGTCGTTTTGACGTTTATTGGATACAAACAGACAGACAAGCCAA